TAGAATGATGTGTTCTACCAACGCGGGTCAAGGGGACATGAGGTCCCCTCTCCCTTTTAACTTGCTGCTATGACTTGCCTGGGCATTGAATGAAAGGAAGCGTAATGGACTGGAGCCATCCAAGATGGAGAAAGAACGGGAATGCAAAAAGGATATGATGGTGGCATCTTCTGACCTCTAAGTCCGCAAGAGGAAGACCGAATCACTATCAGCAGACCAAGGCTTACTCCTAGGAGGCTAGACATACCTCCACCTTCCAGCCTTTTACTGATTCTGACACCAACTATCCTTACCATGGCACTCACTACTTCTCTGCTGGATTCAATAATTCATTGCAGTGACCACACAGAACTCACAGACAATACTCACAATGGAGGTTTATTAGGGAAGTAACAGGCTACAATTTAGGTCCAGGAACATATTCAGTATACAGTTCTTTAATCAGGACAGTCTCCCCTCTGCTGTGCCCTCAGAGACACCTCTCTGGCCCTAGACCTCACGGCTTGGCCTCTGGTTCTGTGGGCCAGGTAAGCCTGCTGCTCTGTCTTGTGCCTCTTGGTTCCACTGCCACCATCTCTCTACTGGTGCATCTCTCAGCCAAGGAGTGATTTTAGGTCCAAGGACGCACTCCACTCCACCTCCAGCTCTTCTCTCTTGATGGCAGTGAGATCCCCTCTCTGCTTCTAGGAGAGATCATTTTAAGCCTGGCAGAGTGACAAAACTAACCAATCCCAGTATCAGAGTTCCACACACCTTATTTGCATGGTCTTACCCAGTAATCCGGTAGGAGTTACAGACTATGGCTAGAAAAGCCATACCAAGTAATTCACTGCACTCCAGGGAATTTCTGTAACTATTGGAGAAGTTAGAAACTATCTTGAAAATCTTTTCTAAGATACACTTCCTTTGGCATTATAGGAGTAAGCAGTGAGATCTTTCTATACAATGCTTAGGCAACAGCTGCCTTTTCTGTTAAACTTTCATTAACCCAGCAAAACAAATTAGACTCAGCTCTTGGGCTTCTTTTGCTTTGTTGAATTATTGCATATGTGCCATTTAACCCACAAGAGGAGTAACAATAATTGAATTGGATAACTTTATGAATCAGCTTGTCAGATCTCTTAATAACAATCTGAGGAATCTACTAACTTCACTTATTCATTCTCATAAATATTCTTTTCAGAGTTACCTCCACTTCATGCAAATGAGCCATGATTGAGAGCCTCAGAAAAATGAAGTGGATAACTTCTCTCAGCCCTCACCTCCTTGCCTTTTTCTAAATCCACATGCTAATAATAGTTATATGAGGTTGTACTCCATATTGTGCTGATTAATTCCCATGGCCTGTGAGAAGGATTGACAGTTCTTGAATGAGTCAGCTGTACAACACTGTCAAATGCCTATCGTGAGTGGCATCCGACCAGGGGAACGTAGGATTCTTAATCACATGTTTAGTACTGCAAAATGTGACCCTTCTTTATACATTGTGTGTGTATACACACACAGAGAGATGCACCTACCCTTCATTTATCAACTACCTAGTTATTAGACATTTTGCATTTACGACAATAGTAAAAAATTCACTATCCATCTATTTTGCACATTAACAACATATATCTGGCAGTAACAAATGCCAAAGTACAAGGTGAGAAAAACATTAGCTGTGATGGTTAAAGTTATATGTTAACTCAGCTGGACCACGATTCTCAGTGGTTTGGCACTTAAGTAGTTACATAATTTGGCAGTTATATAGTAATATGACCGAAAGTTATATAGTAATGACCGAAAGCCAGATGAAGTATGGGAAGATATCAAGAACATTATCCATGAAGAAAGCAAGAGATCACTAAAAAGACAAGAAAAGAAGA